TTATTCTTTAGGCTCACTTCCTAATCACCCTAAAACACCTGGAGAATTTGTTAAAAGCCAGATTGAGTGAGGGTCTGGGATGCTAAAGGAAAGTCAAAATTCAGTCTTAAGGGAAGAATGTACTTGCCTGTGTAATCTGGACAGCAATCTTGGGAAACCATGGAAAATTAAATTACTGTTAGAATTTAATTTATGTAAAGTTAAAATAGTCATAATTGCAAAAATTCATGTTAAATATTGTGGTTTGGTTTCAACTTTTAACATGATTTCTCCCTGCTCTTCCCCACAAAACCCCATGTAACATTTATACATTCGTTTTTCCTTGATCAAACATTTATTGAGCTTCTATCACTATGCTAGACACTTAAATGGCATTGTTATGGTAATACAGTCATTAATTTTTTTAAATTAATTTTTTAGTCTCCTATGCTTTAAGTGACTTCAGAACCAAGAATTAGCTAATGAAGCCATAGAGAATGCTGCACAAATAACTTGAACATTCTGCTCCTTTTCTTCTTTCCGTCTTCTTGCCTCCCACTTCTTCCTCATACCCTCTGCCCCGACACAAACACACACACACAAGCACACATCTTCTTTCTACTTTTCCATGTCATGCTGCACCAATGTAATATGCAGCTGCTCTTAAGTGATCACAGCTTAAAGAAAAAAAATCATTATTAATAGAAGTTGGATTCTCTTCCTCAAGCACAGAACTGAATTCTAAGTTATAAAAACTGAAAATGGAATCTGATGAGATAAAGAAGTATCTTTTCTGCAATTTTGGTAATGGCTTGATTTCTGTAACATTATAAACAAACACTCATATGAAGGATTGCATATGTTCAAACTTGATTTTGTTTTAAAAATAACAGTAATGAAGACTGTCAATAATTTAACTCTATGAAACGATGTCAAGTTTTTATACAGCCTTCTGCATAAATCATGACTCTACTTTCATTTTAAAATATTGAATGTAAGAAAACTGTTTTCTAATGTAAGTAACACACTTGAATTATCCTTTCCTCATTCTGCGTGAATCAAATGGTTGTCACCCTAATCACCCTACCACAATTATTTTTAAAGGAAACCAAAAATCTTCTCACAGGCGACAAGAGTTGATTTTCATATCCAATTTTGCACCTTCTTCCAAAATAAATACTATCTTTACTTTTTCCTAATTATAAATGATCTTCTAGTCTTGTTGCCCTGCTATACTCTGTCCTTTGAAATATTTTACATTATCTTAGTTTCAAAGACTTTCTCTTTATTGATAACTCTCAAATCTCAGTAGAAAGAGTACGCTGTGGTGCTAAGAGCACAGGGCTAGAAATTTGAACATTTGCCTATTTGGAGTGTTGTTTCATATAAAATTCTGATGAATGACTTTCGTCTTTTATATTTGTGTGTGTATGTGGTGTGTGTGTACACACAAGTCCTAGTATAAAGCATGTTTTTAAAAGTGCTAGTTATGATTATCTCAGTAGAATCTAATCCATTCTGTTTTCATTGTTGCCTTCTTGTTTTGATTTTGTTTCAATCTTTCAATGCAAAGAAAACCTAATGTAGCAATCTTTTAATGTGAGCACAAATAATATTCATTTTACAGATGTTTTATAGTTTTAAGTATGATAATGGAGGTGTTCTGTGTTTGAAATTATCTAATGAGTTATTTAGGGAAATAGGTTTTATTTCAGGTGTAATTTACATCCAATAATAAAACATAAAAGTCTGTCCATTTAAATTAAGATGCCAACCTTTAAACTTGCATTTTTTAATCATTTTGGAAGTTGCATAGTGAAGGAGCTGGAGGAAGAACATTCTAGCTGGGCAACATCAACAAATAAAGTGTACCTGATAGTAAATTTATCCTAAAATTGGTAAAGAACTGCTTTGAAACTTAATACGTTCATCTTTAGAAATAGATATTATATATCCATGAGGGTTATTGTAATAATTAAAAGAATTCGCATTTGAGAGAGGGTAGTATTTATTATTAGATTGTAGTTCTTTACCTTTTTAGAAGGACTTTTCTTCAAGAGTCCATTGTGGCTTGCAGTTTCAATTATAAGTTAATCCTCATCTCTAAGAAAGGCAGCTATAGGTTTTATTTTGTTTTTAATCTCTATCTTACAGATAAGAAATACTGGGAAAGTTTAAGTGACTGACCTGTGATTACTCACACAGACATCACCAGAGCTGGAACTAGACTGATTTCTCTCATTTCTTATTTGGTTTTCTGCCTGCTAGATGTAACTTTTGTCATAATGGATCCCAAGAAACTATTCAGTCCCTATTTCTAATAAATATAGATTTTCTACTTCAATTAATATGAAGTTATTTTACATACTTTTGGGATTAGGTCAATCATTATGGACCATTATTGCTAGTAGTGACAAAGCCAATTTCTTTCTCTATTAACAAGTGGAATGAATTATCTCATTGCACAGGGAGAAAAACAGATATATCTGTAGGCCAAAAAAGTTATTAAATTAGCTTATTAGTCATATAACTAAATAACACAGGACTATCTGTCCAATACATCCCATGAAATTCATAATAATGCATGAAAACCTATCATTAACATGCAGCATTTTCAGATACTTTAAAAATTTTGTCTTGGGTTTTCATCTTTACTGACTTTAAATATTTCATGGTTTTCACCGTCAGTAGGTTGTTAATTATGAAGATTTTTCTTTTTTTTTCTCAGAGCTGCTTATACAGCAATACTGATATGATAGCAATAGTGACATGAGATATTAGTGTTTTATCTGTTTGCAGAATGTGGATTTTATTTAGCTTTTTTGCTTCTGTAAGATAGTAAGTAGAACCCATGTATTTTCAAGGATAACTGTTGCAAAATACTGAATAATATGGGAAGAGATTATAAAATACTGAAAAACAGCATAATTGGCAAGGTATGAGAGAATTATTAGAAAAAATATATCAATATTTGTGCATGCATATTTCTGCAAGTTTCTACATAGCTTACAACATTCTGAAGTCAAGATTAGCTTTTAATGGAAAATCATTCAAAACTTACCTTTAATCAGGCATATTTCTAAATTGTCATTGCCTTTTAATTTTCTGATTCTGAGATTTAAATTTTAAGGTTTCTACATTTTATAAATACAAGCTCTTCCCGATGAATAAAATATATTTTTTAACAAATGTATTTATCTTTCTCTCCCAGATTTCAACTTCACTCTTTTATTCCTCTATTATTAATTTCTCCCTTTATTACCTCATTTAGTTAATGAAGGTGCTGATTTTATTCCATTACACAATAATGAAGAATTACATATATAATTTCTAAAAACAAAACAATAAAAACCCCTCTCTAGATTAAAAATCTAGTGTGGTGTGGTCCATATCTGTTTTTAGCCTTAAAACAATGAACTTATCTATTTGCACAGTCGGTTCTTTTAAGAAGAGATAATCTGGCTCCCAAACTACATTGGTAAAGTGACTAAAGGGGAGGAAGGCAAAAGAGAATTGGAGAGAACAGTGATGATATGCACATACTTTCTATAGTACTAATAGATGGCAACACACAAGTCTATTTTACAATCAAATTTTCCTTATAGTGCTTATAAAATTTAGACAAGTTTTGTTTTGGTAATCACAGGATATACGGAGTTTGTAAAAAGGAAGGTAAGTGAAGAAAAGGGTGACTATTATAAACAGAAAGGATCACTTAAAAATACAATTTACAAGAAGAGCTGCAGCATCATAGCTAAGATATATTGAATTCCAGCAATTTGTCAACAATCTAGCTGATATACACACTTGATTTTTGACCCTCACAACAACCTTGTGAGGGGGCATGACTATTTCCATCAGAGAGGGTCACTTTGGGAAGGTCCCATGCTTATGAAAACCTTCATGTATAACTTTTTTTTTTTTTTTTTTACTAGAACTGTGTATATAAACTTATTAGTAGAACTCTGAGCCATTCAGACATATTTGCACTAAAGAAACTTAAAATCTTCCGTAAGGATTGATAATTACAATTTAGGGGAGAGTGGTGCAGAGAAACATTTTGTCGCTTTTTTCCTATTCTTTTCTTGGTAAATAACACTACTTGGTAGTGTTTGAGTCAAACACACACATTAAAACAAACAAACAAAAAAACTATTAGAACATTCAGACTTGATTATCCAAAGAAAATGAAAAAAGAAAGCAAACCAATTAGGTTGGCTGCTTAAATTATCTTTCCCCATTCTCAAGGTTTGTTGTTACGTTCGGGGTGGGGAGGGGAAGGGCGTTTATTTGGACGGAAGACAGCGAAGGTCCACTCTACCTACAACTTCGACATTTCTCCGTGTTTCTCTGCCAGCTAGGGACACTTCGGGCTGATTACTATGAGGGGTGGTTCGGAGCCTAAGAAGTACTACTCTTTTCAGCTGCCAAAGGGAGAAGGACGGGGGCGCTGTCTGGTGACTGTTCGCGTGATTCCTCCAAGGCGGCGACCACCTCCTGGGATTCGCTCTCCAGCCGCGCGGTTCATACTCGGGTCCCGCGACCCCTCCCCGCCCCCTTTACCCACCCCAGCGATGCCAAGACGTTGAACCGCAGGGACGAGGCTCTGGGGAAAGAGTCACCCCGGGGCGCCCTTTCCTGCCAAGCCGCGGGCTCCTGGCGGTCAGAAAGAGCCCCAGGCCCACCCCTGCGGGCCCGGCTTTCTCTCCTCACCTAAGGCTCTCAGGCCACGAGTCCCCTACCCGGCGCCCCTCTCGCGCCTCCCCCATCCCAAACCCCAGCAGCATCCCCGCCTCTCCCGGAAACAAGCCCGCTGAGCAAAGGCGGAGGAAAACCTTGGGCCTTCCGCTCTGATTGGTCTCCCCCCGCCGCGCGGGGCGAGGCAGCGATTGGCTGCCGGGCGTTGTCAGTCGCCGAGGCCAGAGCCATCGCCGGGGAAGCGCAGCCGGGCTCGGGTGCTCCGGCTGCCGCCGCGGCTGCTCGACTAGTGCAGCTGGGCGAGCTCGCGCGGGCGCAGCAGCCGCCTCCGCTGCTGCCCACCCCGCCGCGCCGCTGGCGCCGCCGGTTTTGTAGGCGGCCGCCGTGGAGGGGCGGCCAAGAGAGCGGAGCACGAGGAGGCGGGGGCGGCAGAGAAGTGATGCTGGCGCCGGGGATCGGGGCAGCGGCAGCGAAGCAGCATCATCTTCGGGACCCTGGCTGCAGCATCCCTGTGGCCCGCGCGCCAGCCCAACGGCCGGAGACCAAGCGTCCCGCGGGTAAGGTCCTGTCCGGCGAGACACCCGGGACGGCTGGCGTGGTCTTTGGGGGTTACGAGGCGCGTGGTGGCCGGGGCACCCCGACAAAGGTGTTGGGACTGGGACTGCGAGTCCCGACGCTGGGCTGGGCTGCTGCCCGCGCCCGTGCGGCTCCAGCTGGTGCGTTCTCCCTTCCGCGCTGACAGACTTTGACAGCGCGGGGATGGCATTGTGTGAGTGTGGATGTGGATGTGTGTGCGCGCGCGCGGCTTGGGGCACTTTGCAGCGAGAGCAGTGGGTCCCCTCTGCGTGGCCCGACGTCCTTCAAGGACCCAGGCTGGGCTGGAGTGAGTAGGATGCTGTTGGCTCGGCGGGAGGGAGAACGCACGGAGCGCACGGGGAAGTCCACCGTGGCTTGTAAAGAGCCGAGCAAATTGAACTTTATTGCGTTGATGAAAAGGAACTGTGGACCTGGCGCGCCAGGGGAGAGGCCGGTTCACCTAGGCTTCCCGAAGTCCTACTTTGTCCTGGGGACTTCGGAGCGGAAGGGAGGAGAGGGGGAAAGTAACTGTTCGTCTGCATCGCTGAAGAAAAGGAGGAAAGAGAAGTTGGGGGTGGAGGGTGGAGGTTACTCTTGGGGAAGTGACGACTTTTAGGTATCTGAAGCCCCGCGTGGGAGGCTTGGTACACTCTTCTGGAGCGCAGACTTGAGGATGGAGAGAGTCCCATTCTGAGGTTCTGTCAGCTGCTCCTCCTGCTTGGTGGCGGCGTAGGGCGCAGCGGGACAGCTCGGTGGAGGCCGAGCGGGGCTTGGACGCCCGACGGCTAGGCGTCCGGGTGGGGCCACTGCCTACCCAGGCCGCCTTGGCACGCGTGACCTCCCCGATTGAGACCCGGCCTGGTGCCGAGAAAGTTCAGGCCCGCTGCTGTCTGGGCCATCAAACACAGGGCACGTTAACCACGCAGGGTAACCAGGTTAGGGTACCCAGCTGCCTTCAGAGCATTGTTTGCTATTAGATTATCTTATTTGATAAAGCTGTTGAGAGTTCCACCTGTGCTGCAAAGCCTTGCGCAGAAGGCGAGTTCTGTGCGCCGCTGCAAATGGATGGTGCTACTGGGCTAAATCCGAATCTCCGTAGCTCAGTGCAGTGGCTTCTCCATCCCTCTTCAGGACGCACAAAGTTACTCTTGGCGATTATTTTCTTTGTGGCTTCTTGTCTCCGTGGGAGTATCTGCTTAGGAAAGTTCCTGAAATACCTCAGTACTAAGGAGCTCTCCTCACTCTGTCTCAGATGGGGAGAGGCTCCGGTCCTTGACTGGCTATGGGGTTGCAGCGGGGAATGGAGGTGAACATCAGCTCCCTGCCTGCCAGCTTTGGTAAAACAAAAATTGGCTCAATACAAGGAGGCGGATCTTGAACTGGGGACAGCATTTTTCATGTTATGTAGCTCCGTAATCTCTTTCACTAGAGGAATCTTTTGTCCCAAACAAAACGAATCACAACACAACAAAAATACCCAAAACCAAACCACAGAAACCACTTTGATTGGGCTCATTTCTGATTTGGTGAAACCGAGAAAATGAAAGTAAGGCACCTAATAAAAAATACTGTAGAAAATCAGGAGGGAGCTGTCCAAAAATGTCAGACATTTTTCAATAGTTATTTTTCATTGTAAATATTCTATTTTCTCCCAATTTAGTAACTAAGTTATTTTAAAGCAAATTAATAACTTATGATAAAGTGGTGATATTAGTTTTGTGTCCAAGGATGGTCTCATGGTTTTCATCACTTAATTGTTGTAATGTAAATGGATTTTTTAAATGATTTTAGTCACATATACTGCATTTGGACTACTAAAAAATTGGTGCTATTTTCTTTTTGGCATTCATCACGTCTGGCTTAAAAGTGTGGCTTTCTGATATGATTAAATAAAGTATACAGTTTGTGGTTGCTGTTTCTATACAAATTTGCCTACTTCCAGGTGATTATTTTAATATTACAATGTTGTAGTTATTGAAACCTTCAGGACTTTGATAAGGTTATTAAACTGGCCAAGCAGTGTATTTTAGTTTTGTGTTTCATTTATGCAATACTATGGACTGGTAAAACTTTTTGTTTTTCTCATAGGTTGATATGAGGGAAATAGGATTAAAGTGTGTGATACTTATTAACAATTTTAAAATAAAACTAAACTATCAGTAACAGCCAATACTAAAAATGGAACATCTAAGGAAAATTTTAACAACTTGGCTAAGAAAGTGCTTTTTCGCCTTGATATCATAGTAACATAAATCCATGACATTATGTATTGGAGTAAGCCACAAGTCTTAAAATGGAATTGGGAGCCTTTGTGCTCATTTTAGCGTTGTGTGTGCACGTGTGTGTGTGTGTGTGTGTGTGTGTAGCTTTTATTTGGAGAAAATATTTTTTCAGATAATTTTTGAAACGAGTAGGACAAATCAATGCAGAGAAATGTGTCAGTGGGCTTAAATATTAAGATAAAGCCATAGGAAATACATTTAAGCGTAAGCATAAATGATGCAGTGTCAGCGTTGGAGGTGGGCACAGGCTTATGGGAGCTAATGGGTAGTGCCAGCCACTTAGTTTATACAAGCAATTCAAATTCTACCACTTCTGCAAATGCACTTCAGCTTTAACTTGTATTGCTTCAGGGCAGCCCATGAGCTTAGACTGCCATATATTCTAGATGAATTTTTGTAATGCAAGTAATGTCAACTTGTCAAGACCCTGGGCCACTAAATTCACTTTTTGACTTGTACAAGATCTTAATTTTAATACTCATCAGATAACTTTTCTAAAAAATTCACATCGATATGAATAGCAATGCCCATAGATACAAATATTTTATGAAATACAACTTATTTGTCAAATAGTCACGATTAGTGTTTTACAAGAATAGGTAAGAAAGTGAGGTTTATAATAATTTGTTTTTATTAATAGTGAAATCATTCTTTTCATAAAACTAAAAATTTTAGGGAAATTAATAACTTCAGCTTGTTAGAAAATGAGAAGTTCATTCTCATTTTTTCTCTGTCTCTTTCTGTCTGGCCGTCTCTTTCTTTCTCTCTCTCTCTCACCACACAAGACATGTGCATACTAGAAAGGTTCTCAGAAAGAATGTCACCATGCTGCATTTGAAACAAATTCACGAATCCATTCTGAATGTTGAATGTGCTTCATAAAGGAATATTCTCATTCTCTTTAGTAATCTGTCATGATACTGGTTTATTCAAGTGACATTTAACAAATTGTACTATGTTCCTACTATTTGTAAAATACTGTTTTGTTTTCTTGGACCGTGTGAATGAATATATACAGTAGTATATGAACTCAATGAATACATGTATGAATAAATCACACAAAAATCCCTACCCTTTTGCAGTTTATATTTTATTGGTGTGCAACAGATCATAAAAATATAGATAACTTATATATTTATCTCCTACCAAGCTATTTATTCTAAGTCCTCTATCCCATGGACCAATCTCTTTCCATCTCATTTCCTCTTCAATCTCTTTCCCACTCATATAGACCTTCACAAATTAATGTAAGAACTGAAAAATAATACACATTGCTCCTGAAGCTATGTATGAGAACAATAACATTACATAAGATGCGAGGATTGAAGGCAAAAAAGAGAGATCTAAAGATGATTATTCAGCAATAATATATCTGTCCTTTAAATATCTTTAAAATTAAGTTATATTTTTCAGAGGAACTAGAGGACAACATTATCCTTTAGCATAATGGTTCCAAATTAACAACATTTAAAACAAAATAACAGCATTTATGACTGTCCAAAGTCAAATCTACAGAATTGATTCAAAGGGGATGAGTGAATTTTAGTAGTAAGGAAAGATTCAAAAGCATATTTGTAATGAGAATTCTTCTTTCTCTTCCACATTGAAAGTATCACATTTATGTACCTCTGGAAAAACCGATTTAAAAAAAAAAACCCACTAGGGTTTGAGGTCAAAAGTTTCCTTAAAGTTTATGCATGAAAAAAAAAAAATAATTCATGATCTGATCTTCTAGTAAGAAATGCTGAAACAACAATTTTCAAGTAAGCTTGTCTTTAATTAAAAATAGATTTGGTGATACAGTCAGTCCAATTACAGATCAAACTTTGCAAAACTTTACCTAGATCCTAGCTTCTATTGTTTTATGCACAAAACTGTACAATTATAATTCCCGTTTCGCTTTCTATGCTTCTGTTTTATTACTTTCTTTAGGGTCTTTAGCTTACGTCTCAGAATTATTACTTACTCTCATAGGAAGAATGGAACCTAGCTTGACTTTCAAAAACTGGTTTGCAAACATTATTTTCATATTAGAAGTCGAAATTGCACTCTGAAGAAACTATAGCACATAATGAATTAATGCCATTTTATTCACAGGTTCTATGATTACAGGAGAATAGTGCAGGGTACATCGTATGTATGAAAAGTCTTCAGGCTGGGTACAGTGACTTACTCCTGTAATCCCAGCTCTTTGGGAGGCCGAGGCGGGTGGATCACCAAGTCAGGAGTTCAACACCAGCCTGGTCAATATGGTGAAACCCCGTCTCTACTAAAAATACAAAAATTAACTCTGCATGGTGGCAGGCACCTGTAGTCCCAGCTACTTGGGAGGCTGAGGCAGGAGAATTGCTTGAACCTGAGAGGCGGAGGTTGCAGTGAGCCAAGATCATGCCACTGCCCCCCCCCCACCCCGCCGCCTGAGTGACAGAGTGAGACTCTTGTCTCATAAACAACAACAACAAAAACAACAAAAAAGTCTTCAAGGTTGCTTCTACCCACCCTGGTTTTAGAAGATGGAGGAAGACTTTCTGATATTGTTATCTCAATATTTTATTTCTCCAGATTCAAGAATGCATTCACCACTTATTTAAGCCTTTATCTTTTTTGCCCTAGTTTTTATTTCTGCTAAAATGCAAAACTTTTGGAAAACAATGTTTTAAAACCACAAGTAAATCAACAAATGGCTACCGTATCTAGTA